CGTAGTAGTTATCGATTCGGAGCGTCTTCGCAAATAATAGGAACTTAGGGTTAAGTTCCTTGACACCACTCATATACCAACTGTATGCGAACCGCCTTCTTTTTATTCCCGGAATTGGATCAAGGACCTTCTATCGTTAAATCATGTGAACCCTGTGAGAGCTAAGTATAAATTCTAAGATAAAACACACAAGTGCATGGATGCAATCTTTAGTCTCTCGAGACTCACTTAGTTGGATTCATGGAGGTTCGGAGCGAAATAGTGCTAGGGTAATTGGGACAGGTAATATGCCAACATATTGAATATGTTGAAGTGGTGAACACGTTTGTTCTGTACACTAAAGTGGGCTGAAATAAGGCGGAACAGACTTGTTTCAGCAGTAACTAATATTATTACTCACACGCTTTGGAAAGTTGAGTATGTCAATTATTTTAAAGTCTCAATCGAAATTCTGCAACTGCAAACTTTCAGTAGTTAATCATCGTAGACTTCTGCCAGTTCCATATTATGTGATGGCTGCTAATCCCTGGCAAGTACTCTGCTTAAGTGAGACCCCTCTACTGTAGGAAATCTGGCGTCTCAGATATCCAATAAGTATCACCACCAGTTATCTAGTGAAGATCTTAAATCCAATTGATTTGAGACCGACAGCGCTAATCAACGGCCCGCTAAAGTCAGGTGAACATGTTCACCACTCTTCTTGAAAACCAGAACTGGTTAAAACAAGCTGACGAAATTCTGCTCAAATCACTGGGCTATATAGATTTTCTGTCAATCAGGGTAAATTGTCTTTACACCGCTTCAAGCTGTAAGTATATCTTAGACACTGTTGTCAGTCAAACGGCCATTGCAATGGTATTATCTCAGAACGGTAGAGATGGGAAAGAACACGTAATGGAATACAGCAGTCTTACATTTAGCCGGGCAGAATAAAACTTCTGCATAACTGGGAAAGAGATGTTTACTACTGTTATGTTCATTCGTAAGTATCGACCTCACCTACTTGGTAAACCCTTAGTGCTTAAAGCAGATGAGAAAGCACTTCAGGGATTACAAAACCTTAGGGACCCTGCAGGCCAGACCTCTAGGTGACAGGGCGATCCTTAAGTACATGCTTTGGATACGTGTGCCATCGAAGCGACATGCAAATGCTGATGCGTTATCCAGACAGTTGTTCGGACCTTATGGGGACTGTCAGTCCTGCAAGGAAACTGATATTTGTGCTGTTCATTTGGAAGGAATGAGTAGAGAACAGGGGACATGTATATAAGCTGCAGACGGTGACATCACGCCCTTATACTAAGCTCTGTTCAATCAAATTGGAAAACCAGACGAAACTGCTGTATAGGTGAAGAGTTAGAAGACGAGGATATTGTGGGCCTTATGTTATCAGTCTGTGATTCTGAACGGAATTTTGTGTGTTGCGAATCGGGCTCTGAATGCACCTTTGCGAACACTTTTAGAAGCAGAACAAGAGTAAGCCTGGGACACCTTGTTGCCAATATGCCTATTAGCGCACAGAGGAAACACACACATGTCAACGGGGGAGACAACACACCTGTCGCGTATCGGCTGTGGGTTACGCCTTCCTAGTGATGCGTTAGTCAAGCCCCAACGGGATGACCCACTGATCGTCTTGGAGACGGTAGCAAAACTCTGAAGTGGCATAGCCAGGTACCATAGTGTGCACGCAAAGAACTTCAGACAAAACAAGAGACAGAAACAGTACTGTGATGAGAAGTGGGGAGCACCCTTAGATACAGGTGGCAGAGTACTGTTGCTGCAACAAGGGAGTGACAACAGAGGTCTAGGTAAATCCCAAGTATGGTGGACAAGCCCATACGTGGTGAACCTTAAAGTTACGGAAGATATGTATGAGATACAAGAGGACAGGGATAATAATAAGTATGATAGCGCATTTCAACCGGTTGAAACGGTTCAGACAGAACAGACAGGCGCTGACTGTTACTCTTCCTTCCATTAATGGTCACAATAATAAGAAGCTTGTTTCTTTTGCTGGAGTGACAAAATAGGAGGAAGAACGCAAGATGAGAGAAGCTGAGGATAGCCTTTGAGGAACGAGTAGGTAATGTAGTAGCCCGGATTGTAGAGGAGAAGGCAGTAGTTCAAGAGAGGGCGGCAGCGGATCGATAACAGCTCAGCTGATTTCCTCGTGTGAACTTTGGCATCTCTCTTTCACCGTGATAACTATTACTGATAAAGCCTTTCGACTGTCATCTATGTTCTACTTCTCATTTATAGTTTGCAATAGTGTTGTGGCATGTCCTACTGAGAAGGTTTATCAGTAGTATGTATATAAAGAGATGATAATTGGCATTAAAACATCAAATAGAAGGGAGACAGATTTGATGTCAGAGAAATCCAATGATGCAGCGTCGCGGAGATACATGGGAGACGTGGAGGCAACACAAAGAAACACAGTATGAAGACTAGGAGTACCACAACAGAGGAAGATCTGCGTCGAATATAAGGTGTCATAATTTCGCAACATAGAGATACCAAATTGCAAATAAATATTCCTTTATCAAGTCTTTCGTCTTCTGCCCTTACAGTGCGTTTGATCCCTAATTGTCACTATTGTCTACTACATTCGAACTACCTTTGTTATTATACGTGATTCATTTGAATGACTTTATACTTTGAAGAAAGTCTGAATTCGCTACCCACAGTCGTATGAGGGACTGAAATCAATATTTGGTATGAGTAATGTATAGATATCATAGCCAAATGACCCTCAGCCTACCGGTCAAATCGCCCTGCTTTACAAAGGAATATCTCTCATAACCTTCTTTGTAAGTCTGACCCTGATTGTGGGTTAGGGTTAGGATAGAATTAAGGCTGGATCAGGTTTAATGTTAAGGTTAGGGCTAAGATTAAGTTTGGAGTTAAAGTTGTAACAAATATTAGGGTTAAGGTTTTGGTGAATTTTGCAACAAAGATTATGAACAGCATCCATTTGAAATGGTAAGCAATGTGACTATCATAGTTAGATTACAATTATGATAAAGACAAGCATTCATCAGAACTAGTGGATCCTACAACTACTACCCACATAGATCCTGTTGGAGGATTTCGGGCGCATCTAAAAAGCGGACTAGGATACTAAATGTCTGTGGGAAACTGGGACCTGCTTTTGAGGCATATTAGAGACATATATCCTACATAATTCATTTTCATTATATAAATACCTTGTACATATACTCTTTGCATAGAAACACATGATTGACCGGTTCAAGGGCATTTGGCTGTGGTATTGGCTCCTTACTGTCGCCCCATATTTGAATGTTAGAGAGCGCTTTTCATTCGAACATTTTTAGAGACACAATTTCCGCGAGAATATTCACTTTGCAGCATAATCTATAATTTTGACGTGACTGATCATTTCAAGGTCCTTAGTGTACTCACCCGCTTGGACTATGGTGTAGTATATCTTTCCCTAATTGGGACTTAATTATAATGCAACAGATAAACCCTCTTAAACATAAAAAAGGAAAACAAATTGAATCTTTCGATCAGCAGAAACATATCTTCTAAGATCTTGTTTTCTCCTTATCGTCATGTGTACACAAATGAAGAGTAAACGAAAAGACAAAGAAAGAATAAGTAGAAGTAAAGACGGAAATGATTTTAATACATTAGCAGTAACGATAGTAACAGCAGTTTAAAAATGCTCTTCAGTTACTCATTTATAATCAGAAACCATGAGAGTATTGAATTCAGCGGTTGTTCAATAATCAACCTGTCATAATAATCAACTAACCAATCAGAGAGGTTGATAAATCGCGGTCTCTTTAAAAAAACAACTATTGACCAATCATAATTTAGTGAATGCTTTTACAAAAGAAAAGTAACAAAAATTACTGAGAAACCAAAAAAGATAAAAGGGAACAGCAGTGAGTGTATCAAAACAACTCAGTCAGATAAAAGATACAAACAGACGTCTGAATTAATAGGTAGATGGATGAACAAAACATGTCAATGGAAAAAGAGATATGAAGACAAGAGGAGTGAGAACATTTAGTAGTCACATGTTCTAAATGAAATCTTTATTCTTGTTATTTATTATTATTATCATTATTCCTCCTATTTTTATCATCATCATTCACCAATCTGCTTTACCATGTACAGTTTACATGTGATTACTTTTACTGCATCGATAATTACAAAACATCGCCCATCATTCTGTTGGTTGTCACACTGTTTTCTGTTTCATTCTATGCCTGTGTGTATATATGCTTATATGTATGTTCCCAGTCAGAGAATGCACCTGGGCAATGTGGGCAAAACGTGCGCTAAATGAGTAATTTTGATAGGCAAATGGGTGGCCAAAAGAGAGTGAAAATGCTATATAATTTACCCACTTTACCCATATTGGCCAATGTTTTCCCCGTTTGCCTATATCCCGAAAAATTTATTTGTCCCACTTTTCCTCAGTTCACTCACTTTTTCCCACTTTGTTCAATTTCAAATAGAAAACTTCCCAAGTATTTACCCACATATCCCATGTCCAAAAAATATTCTCTGACTGGTTTTGTATATATAACAGTCCGTTCGCGAGGTAGGCACCAAAATAAACAAAAAAAATTTGAAAAGGTTATGGTGGAAAGGACAAAAGAATAAGAGGCGATGCATTAAGAAAGGAAGAGAAGGATAGGGCGAGAGTAAGTAGGTGACTGACTGAGTGAGTGAGTGAACACAGGTTATCCGTCACTAAAATGTCAGTTGTACACGATGTATATATGTTTGTGTGTGTAACTAATGTTTATTGAGCATTAATTTGTCACACAGTTGACTTTCTCAACACAATAAGAGCAACAATGTAGTAGATAAAAACTAGAAAAAAAAACACAGGAAAGAACATATCACCTTGGTTTGTTTTGTGTGTTTGTGTGTGTGTATGTGTCATTTAATGCAGAAATCGATTAGTGTTATTATTTTCATGATAATATCTAATGAAATTATGACATTAATAAGTTAGTTTATCAGTAAAGAATTAGTACATGATAAGATTATGGGAGTATTATTCACATGGGCTAGTCACACTTTCATTTGCTTCAGCACTTGTTGGCCATGGAAGTAATCGTTTACTGGAGACTGGTGACTGAAAAATAAATTGAAAATGTTTTCTTTTTTTAGAAAAAAAACAATTACACATTTTGATGATAGGTAGTTAAAGGTGATGTCAAAAAACAAAACTGATTTTAATGTGGTCATTCCTAAGGTTGTTTATATCATATTTACTATTTGTTAAGTCCTGTTATTTTCAGGAATCTTGTATGCGCTCAGAGATTTGATTTTCTGTCTTTTAGTGCTAAAAATAAGCACGTTACTTTTGAAGTACTTAAGTTGTGAGTGATTTCTCTGAAAAATGGACAGAAATCAGTTCTTTGTGATTTAGGCATCTAATATAAGGTCGTTGACAAAGTAATGTGTCTAGATACATAATTTTTTGCTAAGTGACGTGATATCCAATGAAGTATGGGATAATTTCAGAGGATCTGTCTATGACGTTGTATTGTATTCGATTACAGAGATAGAAAGTGATTACTGCATTGTTAAACATTTTACAGATTAATCCGTCTACATTTAATTTCTACGCCATATCTTCTGATTTCTACTAAAATCTGAGGAGCTATGTCTCCATCAAGGATGGTGAGGAAATTCTGTGTCTTCATGCTTACTTTGTTCATTGAAAAAAGGCATACTGTCTAAATGTCTCCTCGAAGGTTTCTACCAATTGGCATCGTTCCTTCTGGAATTAAGGAGGCTTTTTGAAATCAGAGAAGAATAAGTTTATTTCATCTGTACTGTGAAGTTTTTTTACCGATAGGGGTGTTTTTACTCGGCGGGATGCTAGCCCCACACCAAATATCGTCTGTTCAGAGTGTTTGCTGAGGTTATTAATCCCAGTTTTAAAATAAATACGAACGATTTTCAGAATAAGTACATCATCCATGGTCAAAATCAGTATTTCTGTTATCTAAATCACTTTATAACCATTATTTTTCAGTGTTCCCCTTACAATTAACCGAGATCATAAATGATGGTCATTTGGTGGAATGTATTTTCAAGTAAGTTGGAGAATCGCTATATTACTCAAATTTATTCACAGTTCGTATCTATGCGAACAAAATGTCCTGTAGACTCTATCACACTGTCCATTACTTAATACTCTACACAAATGGTGTATTCAATGATGAACAAGTTTAATACGTTCGACTCGATGTGACTGTCAACTGTAAAGTCAAGGAAAGGCCTCACTTTTGATATCCCAGTGAATTAGTTAAACAACCACTTGGTGTCATCAACCTATACCATGCAATTAAACAAAAATTTTCAACATATTGACTGACTCATTGATTTTAGTCGTACAATTTTAGGTGATTTCGTGACTCTAAACTATTGCAGTCCAAAACGAAATTACCTAAAGAACGAATTAATGACCTTGAGCAACCAGTTAGATGAGTCCGTAGTGCGTGGGCGGAATTATGGGTGCTGTACAACGAATTAAGTGGCAAATTGGAAGGAAGAAAACGTGTAGCCAGCTGTCATCCCTGGGCAATATACACAATGCGGTCTGTCATACGGACGACTTCGTCCATCCTTTCGATGGGACTGACACATATTCCATCGAAAGTTTCCAAATCCACTTAGAAAAAGAAGATCAGAGAGGTGAATGAGTCAAGAAACATGATGACTGACAGTTATCTCAACAAACTATGTATACTCCTATGACAAACTGGGAGGTTTTCTGGGAACATATATATTAGGATGTTATCTCATATAACTGCTTTTTAACATTGCATTACTTATATACTGACGCTTTTTTTAAATCACGCACTTTTACTACGGTCGGTGAGGATTTGTCAAGGTTTTTATTAGGTAGTTTCGTTTTAGACAGCTCTAGTTTAGAGTCACCGATGATTTAAACAAAGCGGCCAATATCTCTTTCATTGCTTTCTCTTCAAGTAAGAAGAACTTACTGATTTGAAATGAGCGATTTCATTGATTAAAACATACAAAATTAAAACGTTTCGATGATACGATAGAATTCACTTCTAATATAAGTTCTTACTTCTCTTAAATATATATTCACTTATGAATATGAAGAAAAGTAGGCTAGACTATAGAGCTCGGCGGGGGGGGGGGGGTGATCAATTTCAAGACAACCTACCTAAATTCCATAAGTAAAACTTACAACTATTTCACTTTTATCACCTTCTTGTCTGATATTTGAAGATGTAGACTTTGTAGTTGTATCCTCATCTGTGCTCATTGGTGTAATTTGACTACTTCGTCTTGGCGGGGGTGTTGGTGCTGTATAACCAAGTTCATTTGTCTGAGAAAACTCTGTATTAATATTATTATTATTATTCATACTTGTCTCCAACTTTGATTCTCCTGTATTATTCGAATTCAGCAGATTAGATGATTTGACAGGATTGTTTTTACCTTGTGTATTTGTTGGTAATTTCGATTCTGAATTGTTTGTAGTTGTGGTAGCTTTTACAGAGGTTGGCAGTGGTGCCGTTATTGTTGTTGTTGTTGCTGTTGGTGGTGGTTGTGGTGCTGATAATCCTGACTTTGGTAAGATAGTTTTACTAGTACGTTCATGTGGTGATTTAGAACGAGAGAATTTATCTGAAATTCCACTTAATCTATTATTTATTGGTGATGAATTTGATCTTTCTGTAGGTGGTACTTTATTTTTATCTAATTCTGAATCATCTAATGTACAATTTAAACGTACCACCTCAGAACCATCATCTACAGTTACTGTTGTATTGAACATAACACCTCGTGTACCACGATTGCCTATACGATTACGTTGTTTCGGTGAATTAGAATTTTGTACACCAATAGAAGTTGAACTTTTAAGTATACTTGTTGGAATTACAGTTGGCTGAATATTTTCCAATGTACTATCACTACTTTCATCAACCATAGATGTTACACTTTCTGGATTGAAACCTTTACCTGAATGATTTATTCGGTTATAATCATGATTCATTGAATCAATTGTACCTGTTGTTGTTGTTGAACTTAGTGAATCATCAGAATAATGAGCAAGTGGTGCACGTTTCTCTTCTCTTACTTCTGTTGGTATAGTTTGTGGGATATTTGTTGTTGGTATTTTATTTTCTTTTACTGGTATTGTTATTTTTTCTGATTCTCCAACTACATTTTCTTTTGTTTGTAATGATTTTTGATCTATAAGTGGTGTAAACAACAGTCTATTGGTGGATATATTTTCATTTGAGAAAACTCGTCGTTTTTGAACAGCTAACATTTCTTGTTTCTAAAAATTTTAAGAAAAATAAAAATGTTGCCTTAAATTTTATACTACTTAAATATTGTTTAGTAGTTAAATTAACTGTTCAGTAACTAGACCAGGCATCAAGCTATTTATGTGATTATTACAAGATTGTCAAGACAAATACAAAAATGAGGTGGTAAACAGCAAAAAAAGAGTATCCTGAGGAGTTACTGGTTATTGTTTTGATATTTGTTAAATTAATCTGGAATTATCAGGAATAAAGTGTCTTAACTGTTGTATCAAAAAGATTCGGTTTAAATGAAGTATTTTGCCTATCATATGGTCTACTTCCTGATGCGATCTCTATCTACCTGTCTACAAGGTTGATCAAAAATCACTGAATACCGCTCAAGAGCTCTTTATCTACTCAAGCCAGCAGTATGCCAACACTGTTACATACACCAAATCTTGCTCATGTTAGCATATAAACTAAATATAACTACAAAATAGTGTTTTCACTTACCTCTGGAACCTTTTGTGTTTCTTATTCCTGTACCTCTAGAGGGCTGGATTCCTATTAGCTGTTAACTTTTAAAATTATCAGTGAATCTACTACTTTTCCGCGTCATTTAAAACACAAATTTTCATCTCTTTTGGGACACCCACCCTCAGGGTTCGAACCCAGGAGCTGATGGTTACAAGGCGAGCTTGTAGATCATTCAGACACTGGGACCTGAATTCTTAGTGGCCATCCCATGAATTCTAACTTCTATCAATTCGTGATTTCAGCGCCACTGACCCTAGCTAATGTCATTGGCGAGCTTTAGTCCTCACTCCCGACAGGATGGACCCCACTGGTCACGACTTCTCACTAGAACTCCATTGAGTTGGGTCCCAGTGGCTGAATGGTATTCGAGCTCGCTTTGCAACCGGAAGCTCCTGGGTACGAAACCCGGTCGGTGCGTACTGACGACGGGTCCCAAACTAGGACGAAATAGATATCGGATACTTCCTGTGGTTGGTTTTCAATGGTTCTCTATCTGATATCAATCTTTGATAAAACTTGAAAATTGGGTAAATATTATCCACCTTCACTTGCAAGTCATGACTACTCTTCCCCATCTAAGGGTAAATTAGTATACAGTATGAGATGTGACCTAATCACTTGTGCAACGTTAAGGTTTGCGGCAGATCACGATTTTGAATTTTTTTACCGGTAATTATAAGCCAGGCAGCATAGTAGGTTTTTCAGACGACAGGATTTAGTCTGTCTTAAATTAAAGGCTACATACTACTCTTGAAGGTGGTTCCTTAATCGGTGGAACTCATGATTACTAGTTCAAGGAGTTCACTTATTAGTTTATTTTATTTATATCTTTCATTTCTTACGTTCCTAGTGGAACAAAAGAACTTCAGTCTCTGAAGTCTCAGTAGTCGCGGTGTAGCCAATTTTATCCCGAACTTTCCCTCTTTTCCACGTTTATAATCAACTGAAACTAGTAGGTTTTACAGTGTTTCTACTGAAAATCAAAACTGGACCTCCTGAGTAGCTGATAAGAAATCTACCATCAGTGAACCATCGAAGTACACTTAACAAATGGTTGTAGGAAGTCGGCAGGAAGCCTTAGATCCTGGTTTCGTCCTTGTTAGCACAGAGCTATTCAGACTCAATGGTAACTTCTCTGACTACAGCACTGGGTGATACAGGTTCGAATCTCAGGGAGGACCTTCAAGGTCATAGATACGCCTTGTTGACTGCTGCGTGCCAACAAACACGAAACCTTGGTGTGATGCTTCCTGCCGATTGCCTCCTACTATCTAATAACAAAAAATCAGAGTGCACTTTGATGTCAAGCCACTTTCCACGATGGCCACAAAGCGAACTCGACGGATAGAACTCAGTCTGCATCAAATAAAGAACTAGGCGCACAATACTACTTATTAACTAGAGTCCAATTAAAGCGTGGTGAGAGCTGTCTGCAGGCCAAAATTCTAGACAAAAATTTACGTCCTGAATCGTGGCCATGAGGAAAAAACAATAACAAAGCTTAACCTTTAGGAACTCAACAACCAATCACAGCAGATTTAGCATGTGAAAATACGATTCGCAGATATATGGCTCAACTTTCTAAGAAATGGCCACAAAGAGTACAGAATAACCTTCAGCCAGAAAACAACCAGTCAGAAGACAATACTTCTCTGCTAACAATAACGAATAATAATGTACATAAAAATATATAAATATCTCTTGATTTTCTCAATAAATGATCTGTTATCTGGCCCTTGTCTTCTGTCGTTACAAAAGAACACTCAATAATTGAAGAGAAAAACACACAAAAAGAAAGATTCAATATACACTAACTTTAATAGCTTGTAATCTCTTTTCAGAATCTGGTTGAATAGTCTGTACAGCTGCATACAAACGACTACGTTCAATACTACCACGATCAGCAGCTGCACGATTAACAAAACCACCAAGATGAGTGAAACGTCTTGGTGAATTGGAACGTTGACGATTTTGTACATTTACAATAGCAAGTCTAGAGAAAAAAGAAGGACAAAGAAAATATGAATAAAAAGCTATTTTTTTAATCATTATTTTTGAATTTCCCATCTTTTTATGAAAAATCATCAGTCACTGTAAATGAAGGTTCATTCCACTGACGAGTCCTATTCAGGACGAAACACATATTCTTGATTCCACTGCTACCTACCATCAACCAAGTAAGTAAAAGTTGTCAGATGAAATTTGTTAGAGAGATGTCGGATTTAGGTGAAGTTGAAATACTTCATTTTTACAACAATTGTGCAAAGAATACTAAAAATACAAGTCCGATTACAAATCTATTCAGGAGTGCACTTAGCTTTTTTTGGATACTTAAATTATGGGATTTATATGGATTAGAACTAACTTAATTTCAATTCTTAGATTTCATCACTAACCAAAATCATTTAAAGAGATCAGTGAGAACCAGGAAGTACTGGACAACCGTTTCGCCCCAGTGTGGGTCTCTTCAGCAGTACTTACTTACATGATCTAAATATTAATTTAAAGGTCCCTGATGGCTACTGGATGATTGTCTTGAAGCTGTAGGGAGAATTCGTAACCATCAGGTTACGCCATTTCAAGGTGAAGTGGATTCTCATCGAAGGTATTGATTGATGAGGGTAGCTCTACATCACGAGCTAACAACAGTTGATTTCAAGGGTCACTGAATTCTGGCTCAAGTTACTGAATGGTCAATGAGTTTGGTGTAGTAACCTGAGAGTTCAGGTTGTGATCCCTAGTGGAAGTGTCGACGGTATACACTGCTAAATACTCCCAAACTCGGATGAAACAGCTGTCCAGTACTCCATGGTTTTCACTGATCTCCATAACTGATGTGGGTTCGTTTTCGATACACAGGTATTTCGCTAATAGTAATAGCCTCTTTATCGACTCTTTTAACTTCTAAAAATCGATAAAGTGGACAAAAACTTACCTTGACAAGTGGTTAATCTGAAAATTACTATGGTAATTGTAGTTCTCACTTATCTGAGTTAATCTTTTGTGTCTGCTTCCTTTTTTTTGTTTTAGCTTCCTCCTCCCTTCGCCTTTTACGGTTTTTTTTATTCCCTTTGTCGGTTCACCTAATACTTGATATAATCTATAATAACTACGACTACCACTTTTTAGCTTTATGACAAATTTTTGTTTTTTCTGATTTTATTATTGTACTACTCATTATTTCTCACCCTCTTATTATAATTTTGGAATTTCTCTGCTCTCTACTCTACTCTACTCCTCAAACTGCCCCGCCCCACCCTGCCAACTGTATTACCATTGTATGTACTTTTGACATTCGTTATCTTATCAGATTTAGCTTGTCGCAGTTTATTTCTATTTTACGCTTGTTTAATCTATCGCGTTATTTAAGTAGTATATAACTGCTGAATATGTTTAACTCATATTGAATTTTATGTCCATTTTAGACTGTTTGTAACTGATTTCAAAGGGGTTATACAATATAAAAAGGAAAAGCATAGTTAACGTTTAAAAGTTTGTTGTCATTTTTGCAGTAAAAGTTATCAAGGTGCGAAAATTATGAGCTGTTAACTCATAACAATACTTCCAAAGAACATTGTTTCATCCAATCTGCTATTCACACATATTTAAACAAGTCTCTAGCTAATGAGTCCTGCAAATCGTCTAGAACTGCCAGTCAACACCCATCCTCCGACAAAAGTAGAAGTCTTGAATGCAATCAAGCTATTGAAAGTCAACCAGGAAGGCAGCAGGACAGGATGGAATTCTCTCTGAAGCAATGAAAACATATGCGCAGACTGCAGCAGATGTGTTCACGCCACTATTACAAAATGTTTGGAAAGAAGGAAAGGTGACTAGTGATTTGAAGAAAAGCAGCCTTGTGAAACTACCAAAGAAGGGCGACTTAGGCGCCTCTGTAAGAACGGCAACTAGAATTGTAAGTTGCGTCATCCTGGAGAGAATAAAAGATGCTCCGGATGGAAAACTCAGCCAACCGGAACAATCTGGATTCAAGAAAAGCAAATCGTGTGCTGATTAAATTGTAACTCTAGGCGGTGTCATCATCATAGGACAAAGCATAGAATGGCGGTTACACCTCTACCTTAACTTCATCAGTCCGTGATCAACTCGTAAAAACATAACAGACCCTTACAAACCAAACTATAGAAAATTAATCTGATGCTCGCTAGTGGGTGACTTGCTACAGGATGGAGTTTCCTGGAGTTCTGGTGAGAAGTCATGACCAGTGAGGTCCAATTAGATGTCACGTGTGTGGATAGATGTCCCACCAACGACAATGGTTGGAGTCGCGCTAAATCACGAATTGGTAGAAGTTAGAATTCATGGGCTGGCCATTGAATCGGGTCCCAGTGGCTGAATGGTAAACGAGCTTGCCTTGTAACCGGAAGGTCCTGGTTTCGAATCCCAGTGGGCCCTTACTGCCGATGATACCCAAACTAGGATGAAACAGCAGCTGTCCAGTACTCCCTGGTTTTCAATGGTTCTCTAACTGATATCAGTCTGTGATCAACTCGTAAAAACATAACAAACCCTTACAAACCAAACTATAGAAAATTAACCTCATCAACTTCGTAAAGACCTTCGATAGCGTTGACCAAGAAGTATTTTGGAAACTACTCCAACACTATGATGCGCAATACCCAAATCTTTATCAGCTTCATTCAACAGCTGGCTATAATGACAATGGCACGTGTCAGGTGATCCACAACAGAAAACCCAGTGAAGCCTTTGAAATGAAGACAGGAATAAAACAAGGCTGCGTACTATCATCAATGGTGTTCCTAGTTTTGGTAAACTGGAGCATGCGCCAGGCGGTGGGAAGCGAGGAGTCAGGAATACGCTGAACTACTGATAAGAAAACTCTAGAAGATCTGGATTTCGCTTGTGGGTGATATATGTCTTATGTCACACAAACTCGATGACTTACAGGCGAAGTGCAACAAACTAGCTGAAGAAGAGGGTGGTGACGATATGAGTCCAAATTAACACGGAGAAGACGGAGCTGATGAAGAGAACCACCACCAACAGCAACAACAACCAGCACCAATCAAAATCAGAGGGAGAGATCTAACAGAGGTTACCGCCTTCACTGATCTAGGAAGCCCGGTATTAACCACAGGCAGTCGGAATGGATGAAGATGTCAAAACCAGCCAGTCAGAATCGGAAAGAAAAGCAAGATGTGCCTTCGTCAACCTGAAACCAGTTTGGAAATCTTCTCCAATCAGTCAGCATAACAACAAGATTCGGATTCTATTCAACGCAAATTTGAAGTCAGTGAGTCTTTCTATACGGGTCAGAAACTTGGCCAGAGTATCACGAAGCGGATTTCCAACAAGTTACGGAATGTCATCAACAGCTGCCCACTTCACTGGCTCCATACTAAATATCAAATGGCCACCAGGCCAGAAAGAATTAGCAACAAGAAACTCTGCAGTGGGACAAACCAACAGGCAAGAGCCGATCGCTCAACAAATATGTAGGAGGAAAAATGGAGATGAATCAGGCATACGTTGAGGAAGTCATGGAATGACATCGCACACGATGTAGGCCAAGGTTGCAGTGGAATCCAAATGGGGCGCGACAAGTGGGTCGTCGGCGCGAGGGCGACATGGAGGAGATCATGCTAGGAGGAGGAGATGATAGATTTTTGGGCAAACGTGGAGCTAGCCAGCTGAAGAGGACAGCAGAGAATAGAACAACGTGGAGATGGTAAAGCCCTATGTTCCACTAGGAAACCAAGGGAATAATAATAACGATAGAAAGCTGTCCAGAAAAGATAAAATTTCACCCTCATTTCAAACAAGAATGGTAAGTGGTTGCTTAGGCATACAAGAGAGTTTTAAAAAGTTCCATACAATGAAATACTGGTAATGTTAAGTGTGTTTTGTCCTCTTATTCCAGTCACCTTTAACCAGATGTTAGTTGTGAAAATAGTGAGATGTTTTATTCTGACTACTTTAATCTTAGCCCCTGATTTTTTTGAATGGAGCAATACAGAATCAAATCTCCTGAGGTTATTGATGATCCATCCTGATGACTAACGCCATCAGATACGGATATTAAATTTAGGTAATCATCTAGCTTGACACCTAATGTCTGACATCAAACTCAGTTCATTGTTGATTCAAACAGTCGAGTTCAGTGTAGCATCGGAACATCTGAACGGTAGAGTTGTGTAAGCCACTTATAACATGACAGTTATCATCCCGTAATTAACTGTGGTATGTATCAATTATTCGTACCTCAGAAAATGGAGGCTAATTGGAGGTTGTACGATAATCAGAGTTTGTGGATGGCCAGCCTACTAAATGACACACTACCCATAATCTTTAGTGCAGTTTTTCCTATGCATATATATATATATATATTTGTACATCAATTCATAGCCGTAAAACTAATACAATGGTTAGACAAACTTTTTTCTGTATGCAGAGTTGGGGGTTGTATTGACGAAATGCCAGCGCCTCCACCATACACAAGAGCCGAAACATGACACACTTTGTACCATTTGGTCTAACCTCGTAGATGACCTTGAAAGACGACTCTGGTGGAGCTAAGTGGCTGGAGTTCACCAAGTGCTCGAGAATCAAGCCAGTAATTGTCTTGCATTGTCCTTTTGCTAACCATGCCGGATAATGTTCAGAGATGCGTTTGGAAAGTATGCACTTTGTGCGGCTAATATAACTAGCTTCACACGAGCAGGTGAGTTTATAAGCACACTTGAAGTGACCCAAAGTGGCAGATTATCCTTCACACATCCATTGATCATTTGTTGGCTGCAGAAATTGGTCCGTAGCTCAGCCGCACTTGGTGAACTCAAGCTACATAGCTCCACCAGAGTCGTCTTTCAAGATCATCTACAAAGTGAGATCAAAGGGTACAAAAGGCGTCATGTTTCGGCTTTTGTGTATGGCGGAGGCGCTGGCGATTCGTCAATATAATACAATGGTTCTTTACAATTAAATAAGTAATCTAAGTGTTGCAATATATTG